AAAACGTTGATTAGGGGCGTTGAAATCCTGCAACACGTTTTCATGCACGTTTTCACCATTTGACTTATTTCGGCCTTCATTTTAGGCCAACAAAAACGAGAACTTATGTCTTATACTTGCTTTTTACTTGCTGAAATACTTGACCGCCATATATATAGCAAGTAGCTCGCGGTCATAAGTACTATATTTCTTTTGAGTCTCTGTCAGCCTTTTGGAATAGAATCCCAGCGGTTGCAACTGCCCATCTATAAGCTGTTGCAGAACTGCTCGTACTGCGACATTGCTAGCGGCCACATTTAGCACCAGTTTCGCATTCGGAGCCGGGTGTGCTAGCATTGCAGCATTCGCCAGATTGTTCTTACACACTTTAAATATTTTCTCGGCCTCTGCTGTCCACTCAATCGGAGATCTATCATTTTTCTTTTTTCCTTTTAATAGTGCGTGCAGGATGCCATGATTCTTCGCAGCATTCGCGAGGAAACGCTTGTAAAAATTTATTGAAGCGATGAACCTTCTTAACTCTCGTGCTTCTTTTGGTTTTTTAAAATTTCTAATCGCTTCCACCTTTTCAGCTATGGGTCTAATTTCGTCCCATTTATCACATGTCCCAGGAAGATAACTTCTTTCATAAAAAACACACACTTTCCCAGATTGATCTTCAGACCATGGTCGCTTAATCGCTTGAATACTTCTCTTAAATGTATTTCGTGTTCCTTTTCATCAGCTGATGCTATACATATATCATCTATGTACGTTATTACATAATTCAGATTCTTTAGGACATCATTCATAAACCTTTGGAAAGTCTGCGCAGCATTGCATAGACCAAAAGTCATCATGTTAAATTTATATAAGCCGAATGGGGTTATTATCGCCGCTTTAGGTCGATCCTCTTCAGCAATCGGAATTTGATTGTAGGCTTTTTCCAAGTCAAAAGTTGAGAAAATTTTCTTATTTTGCAATATGCGAGTAAAATCATGTATATGGGGTATTGGATACCGATGTGGCAGTGTTATCGAATTAAGCTTTCTATAATTGCCACACGGTCTCCACTTACCATCCTTTTTCGCCACTAAATGTGACGGACTTGTCCAATTGCTGTTATTTGGCCTAAAAATACCTTGTTTCGTCATAAATTCAAATTCCTTTCTCGCAATTTCAAATTTTTCAGGGTTTAACCGCCGAGGTTTTGCATACACTGGCTGTCCCTTGATAACAATTTAATGCTCTACTAGTGTAACCCTCACGGCCGCCTTATTACTAGTAGTCGGTTCCGTTATCTCTTTATGATCCCGCAGGATGTTATGTGCCGGTCTAGTTGCATCATTAGTGCTTAGTTTCACGCAGTGTATCTCCTTCTTCGAACCCATTATCTGGAGGCCTGTAATGACATCACAAATTCTTATTCAAATTATTCAAAAAAATTATTTAATCCCTATTATTGGGTGATTTACCTTCTCCACTTGGAACTCCCACAGGAACTGTCTGCGCAACCCCAAATTGACTTGCACTAATTTCGTTCCATACGTGCTAATTTTCGCCCCGTTTGCTGCGTATAAATAATATTGCGTGGCTTCATTTTCAGGCTGCATTCTCTTTGGCAAAATTGAAACTTCCGCGCCCGTGTCTATTAGATAATTTATACCTGTTTTTTTATCCTTGAAGAACAGACGGCATGCTTTACCCTTTGCCACTTCACTCGCCGTCAAACGTGAAGTGGTGTTTAGTTTCCGCTGAGTTTTGTGGTGGTTTGTACGGGGTTTTTTGTGGACCTCCCCTTGAACCGTCGATGATAAAAACAGATATTAGCTCTTTTAGCACTTGATGATCGCCCTCTTCCACGATCTCTGTCATTGCTTCTTCCTCTTTTGCCCAACTGAATGATCAAATTATTTACCACGACTTTTAACTTGTCAATTTCTTTCTTCATCTCATTAGGTTCATTCCTTTGCACTACACAAACCGTTTCTGTTTCCTGTACCTCAAACACCTTATCAGCCACCTTGGCCCACTGTGCAGAATCACCTTCGACTGCAGCTACAATTGTTCTAACTCCCACTGGCAGTCGCTGTAACCACAATGACGTCAGTACGTCATCACTCATTGAACTGCCAGCCATTTCCTTCATTTTCTTCAGCAATTGCATTGGTTTCATGTCACCTAGCTGCAATTCTGTCGGCAACTTACGCAGCCTTTTGTGCTCCGATTCTGTGAATTCATTTATTAACCGTTTCTCCAACGTCTCATATTTCAACACCTTCTGTGGATCCCGAATCACATCAGCTATGCACTCCAGATATTTCGGCTCTAAACCTGCTACTACATGGTCGAACTTTGCATCATCTCTCGTTATTCCCGCACTCCTGAACTGCGCTTCCATTTGCAGAAAAGGTCCGGATGTTTTCTTGAAAATATCATCGACTTTATTGACACCCGGTATACCTCCTTGTCAGTGCGGCTTTCTCCTTCTGCCGGAAAAAAATCTTCTTCCTCACGGTTAATCATCTTGCTTGCTTAGTCGGGCTTGATAAAAACTTACAACTCCTTTTTTGTGTCGGGGTCACCAACACAAAACTTTTATTGTTTTCTTCATACAACTCTAGAAGCAAACTGACTAACACACAAAAATAATCTGAAGGAATATTTTAATAAAATATTTTCAAATATCAAAAACCTGACAATTTTCACCTACTTTGTTGTTTCTCACAACAATACTATTTTCAATTCTGTTCTAAAAGGAAATTTTAAAATTTCCTGCATTCTGAATATCGATTTGAGTTCAGTATTTATCTTAATTTTTAATTTTATCTTTATTACCTATTTTTATACAAAATGTGATTTGGTTGCATTTTATGCACATATGCATGATTAGACTCTTTGCAAAAATATAACATATGACAGATTGCAACAATGATGCCACACTTAAAAGCTATGTTGGAACAAAGACAAAACGAAACAAAAAAATGCAAAAAAAAAAATGCAATTTTTAATGATTGTATTCTGTTTATTTGTTTTTATTGTTTCAATCCAAAAATTTAAAAATAAAATAACAGAAAAGCTGAAAGCACACTAAAGTTTTTAAGTCCCTTCCTGGAAAATAATGTCCGGCTATCAATTGCTAAAGGCAGGAGTTCGCTTTGAGTACACCAACGTCACCTGATTCTGTTACCTCAGGGCTGCTATGTTGTGGACCTCAATGTTCGGAATGTACACTTGTGCAATTATCATGCAGGTGCAAAAGCATTAATTTCCTTCACTCGACTGAATTTTGGGATAACTAACTTTCGAGTCGTGCAGTCGTGCATTCACTGTGTGCGATATAAACCCACATTACTTGACCAAATGATAAGTAATCTCCTAATTGAACGCTTGACTCCAAGTCACCCATTCGCACGTACCGCGATATATTTTTGTGTTCCCATTCTAACGTATATCCGGATCCGTGGACGAGTCGGATATAAACCTATATAGCTCTATTCGTTTATTTATCTGCGAAGACAGTTCATGTAAAAACGGTGTCAGTGTTGTCAACGGAGGCATTCATTGCAGCACTGAAAAGGAGGTTAACAGTTAGAAGAGGTTTACCATCAGATATTTTCTGTGAGAATGCAACGAACTTCGTTTTTGGTTACAATAAACTAGCAAAGCTAAAAAGGTTTCTATTCGACAAGTTCAATCAAACAATTCTGCAGACATTTTACAGCAATCAATTCGTAAAGTTCAATTACGGCTGTTAAAAACGCGAAAGAACATCTTTATCAAACACTCGACTTATGTTTTAGGAGCTTGAAACGATGTTTTTGATTGAAATTGAAACCGTTTTAATGCGACCAATCACACCACAATACTGCGACCCAAGCGATTACGAAGCGCTAACATTTTCTCTTCGGTGATCCACTTAAAACGCTACCTGAAACAAATTCTCAATGAGGTGATGTAAAATGCTGATAAGTGGTATCGTATTACCGTGGTCAAATATCACTACTGGCACAGATGGTCTTAACGAATCCATCTGGCCTTGGTGTTAATACATGAAGATAACATGCCTCCACAACGCTGGTTGATGGTACAGTAGTACAGTAGTGAACTACAACAACAAAAACTCATTTTATATTATTTTAATTAACTTAATTTTTGGTAGACCATACAGCTGTTTTGAGTATTACCAAATATCCATCATCAGTGGTCTTGGAAATAATTCTTGTATTTGATCATTTGTAAATAATTTTTTTTTTCTGAAACTGCAATACCAGGTTCGAACTCATGTTCTGTCAAATTTGAAGCTCAGAGTCACCGCAGCACCTTAACTAACTGACCCAAAGTCGTACTTGATTTTTGTGTTCGCGTATTTTTCCAGAGTTTTGTTATTTTGCTATGAAAGTTTTTATTAACACTTGCTGCGTTTATATTAGAACGAAATCATAAACCAGCTGTAGAATAATTGAATTAATTAATTATATTTTTATTTTTAATTGTTTGATTTCAATACTATTCAAATTTCAATAAATTAAATAAATTTTTGTCTTTGTCCTTTCTTTGCTATTCGAAGCCTAAACGGCTTTAAATAGTTTCTTTCGTTATAAAGGCACACCACTATCAGCATAGAAAAAAAAATAACATTGAAATTATCATTTATTTAATTAAATGAAATACCCCTTGTTTGCTTTACATTCTATGAAAGAAAATATTCTTAACCGCGTATATATAAATACAAAGGCAAACAAAAATACTTTAATACAACTCAAAAACAAATGTGTCTGCGCTACACGAAAAGCTCAGCTGATGAGTATAAAAGACGGCGTATTCTTCAGAAGGATATCTTATGTTAACACTCGACATGGCGGTGTTACGGCCGAGCAAGGCTTAGTATAAATAACATAATACAAGGGTGGTTTCAAATCATACTGCACAAAGAAAATATTACAAGCAAAATATATAAAAATATTACTAAATACTATGGCTGTTTCAAGTCAAAGAAATTGGAGAAATTAGATATTAAACATATTAGAAGGTATGTTATACTAAAATATGTATTATTTCAAAATCGTTGTACATTTCCAAGTACAATAGCTGTTCTAAGTCATAGAACAAGGAAGAATATTTTATACAATATGTTGAAAGAAATACCTTATGTTTTATATACATGTGTATATGCTATATTATCTAGTACAACGGCAGTCTTAAGTCACGGTACTTGGAATACATTTTATTAAATACAAATTTCCTCATATCACGTCATCATATCACGTGCATCAAGAATCGGAGAACCAAGGATGGTAGGCGCAAGGACAGCGACAACAGTGGGTCGGGTTTTTTTTTTGCAGTAGGTGGAAAGCATTGAAAGCCACAGTGTGAGACTTGAACCCACTAAAACCACCTCTTAGGAATGAATGGAGAAGATTCCCACAGCAATGTGGGAACTTCATTCCAGTAATCAGGGGAGAGAGAAAGTAGATAGACTTAATACCTAGTGAACTAGGTTCATCTAAGTCAGAAAGCAAGGGCATGAATGAAGAAGAAAGGATAATAATGAAGGTGGTGGGTTTACGGCTAGTTAGCGGGGGTGAGACTAGTGATATACTTTGTGACCAGGGTCACGAAAGCCGCGGTTAAAAAGAGGATTTTAGCGAGAGGATTTTGATCCAGCTCATCAAAATAGTGGAGAAGGTACTGTGGAGGTTTAAATCGTAAAGCTAGAACAAGATCTACTGGGAGGGTATCTGGACAAGAGACATCAGGAAGGAGGTCGTGGAGCTGGGTGAGATACCTACGTGCGAGTGTCAAAAGGTACTCATCAATACGAGTAATCTTGGCATTGTCATACAGAGTGGAGATAGAGAAGTGCTTGCCATTATAAGGCTTGCGCTTATAGTTGGTGCAATCACGGAGAAGTTACCGCTCAAACAGGCAACATCTGAGCAGAAGTGATGGCAGACCAAATAGGGATGGTATATATGAGGAGAGGACGAATAAGCTGCTTATAGCAGAGTAACTTAAGTTTGCAATTAAGTTGGTTGTGTCTTCGAAGTGCAGTTTTGAGTTGAGTGTGCCTGAACCGGGCGTTACGGATGGCATAGTCAACATGTGATATAAAAATGTGTTGAGATGAGAAGACAATACCAAGATATTTCAGCTTGGGGACAAGCTGAATTGGAGAGTTGTTAAGCTTAAGCTTAATATTAGAGGTGCTAAAACCTCTAGGACGATCTTGCTGCTGGCCAAGTAAGGTAATGGCAGAGATCTTATAGGGGTTGAGTTTAATCTTCCACCTGGTGTAATAGTCGAAGAGGGATCAAAGGTAGGCATTAAGCTCATTGGAAAGGCGGTGAGGATTAGATGACCGCATGAAGACAAGGCAGTTATCGGCGAAGCAGATTTGCTTAACAGGGGCCCGCGGGAGAGGAATGTCTGCTAAAAACAGGTTAAAAAGGAGAGGTCCCAGAACCGAGCCTTAAGGGACACCGGCGTCGATGGAGAAATCACAGGACAGAGAGGAACCGACTCGAACCTGAAAGATTCTGTTGGACAGAAATTTGTGGACCACACTGCAGAGCGTAGGGGAGAAACCGAACTGATGAAGCTTTAAAATTAAACCTGCAAACCAGACAGTATCAAAGGCTTTTTCAATGTCGGGACTTAGTGCCACAGTAGGCTACTTATTGAAAAAACCTGTGCATATCTCATTTTGGAGATGATGCAGGGCATGAAGAGTGGAGGTTTGGCTCCTAAAGCCAAACTGATAAGAAGTAATAATATTATTCCTTGAGGAGAAGGACTTCAGCTTGCTTGCTATGAAAGTCTCATAAAGCTTACTGACAGAGTTGAGGAGAGAAATGGGACGATAGCTGAAGAGGTCAGCTTTAGGTTTGCCACTCTTGGCAATGGGACATACTATGGCCTTCCTCCATGGCTGGGGGAAGGAACCAGTATTGTACGCATGGTTGAAGAGCATGGCGCACTTTTTAAAAAAGAATGGTGAGACACGCCTCATGACGTAGAAAGACACACAGTCAGTGCCAGATGACTTTTAAGGGGCTTTAAGCCGAAGCATGTCAATAAGATCGAAATGGGTGAGAAACCCTTGAGTGTCTTCAACATTGATTCAGTGAGCGGGAAACTGCGGGGAGAAAGTATCAATGCTTTCATTGAAAGCAACAAAAAGCCCATGCACTACAGAATTCATAGTCGACGTAAAGTGGCGCTCGCCTAGGCCAACCGTAAGACGGTGATTAGTCACAAAGACTTCACCAAAGACGTTGGCTTTATCAAGGTCATCATACGCTATGGTGGTGCCATAGCAGAAGTCAGAGATGGACCTATTTGATCCACAGATTTGCCTGATCGTACTAAAGACGTCAGACCGGCACTGAGTGGCACGAAGTTTGGCATGGAATTGAACCTGGTTTGGTTGACCCTCTGGACAATTATGGTGTCAAGGTTCTTAAGGATGGCTTGAAACGCATGAGCTTGCGTGGAAGCAACCTGTCTAAGGCGATAAGATCTGCGGCGGACCGATTTCCTCAGTTTAATGAGGTGAAGGGTAGTAGCATCAAGTGAACTTGATAAAATTTGCGAACACGCACCTTCGGAACATGCTCATCAATTACGGAGGCGAAGATGCTTTCAAGGGTAAGGGCAGCAAAATCGATCTCCGCAAGAGTCATGTTTCTGTGTTCGGGAATGCTCAAATCAATAAGGGGCTGATCAAGAGTAAGGTTAAACTCCGACCAGCTGGAAAAGTTAAAAAATGTGCGAGGACAGGCACGAGTAGCTCTGGCAATTATCCGCTAAAAAAAGTCAATGATACTATTGACATGAGTCGGAACCGAAGGAGCTACCACACTTAGAATAGGGCTGACTGGGCTACTAGTCAGCCAGTTGAAGAGCCTAGTGCCACTAAAACAAGAGGCAAGGGCCGGGTTGTACAAGGGAGTATATTAATATTATTTACTTTTTAAGATTTCATGTATTCTTTTAATATAAATTCCTTATTCAACTAAATTGTACATTGTATAAATTATTTGAATAACAATACTAATAGACATTTTAATAAAACCACGGTTCTAGACAACAGTATACTTAATATTTCAACAACATCGATCGAAGAATTCGAATTCGATTTGCTTGTTATTTATATAAATATTTTAGTTAAAGTTTTTATGTCCACCTCAAAATATATACATATTTAGAATTCAAAAAAGATAAATGTTTAAGAAAATATTCAAAATTTCCATGTAATCCAAAATATTAATTTTTTTAAACTTTTTTAAGGTCTTTGATATCATGTGGAGCGATCCACAGCATAGTAATGGCTGCATTCCAAATACATTGCGTGGAGCTGGCACATACTTTGGACCTAATATTACCGAACAATTTTTAAGTGATAATAATTTTAAATACCTCGTTCGATCACACGAATGTAAGCCCGATGGGCACGAATTTACCCATAACAACAAGGTAATGGAAGTTTAAAGATTCAAAATTATGTTTTAATGTATTCTAATTAATGTAATGATTGAAACTTTTTTGTAAAGGTTATTACAATTTTTTCTGCCTCAAATTACTATGCAATAGGGTCAAACAAAGGTGCTTATCTCCAAATAGGTACAAATTTGCAGCCCCATTTTGTGCAATACATATCAGCTGCTTCAAAAACTTCTGCATTAACAATTCGCCAGAGAGTTAGTTTTATCGAAAGCTCTGCGATAAGAGCGTTAGGGGCTCGTATACGTGATAAACGTACACTATTGGAAGCTGAATTTAGAAAACATGACCCAAAACACACTGGTATTTTTCTGTATTTAATAACATTATATGAAAATAAATATTACTCGCATATATATGAAATACTAATTGAAGTTTATAAATGTTTATCAATAGGAATTATTAGTATTACAAAGTGGTGTTATATAATGGAAAAAGAAACTAATTTAACTCTTCCGTGGCGTTTATTACGTGATAAACTAGCACCCATGCCAGAGGGATCCCCGCCAAATGATGTAAACTATCTCGTAACTTTAGAAATTTTAGACTCGGATATAATAGTAATGATAAAACTATGTTAAATTTAGTATAAACTTATAAATAATTTTTACCATTATTTTTCAGATAGAGACACAGAAAGAGGAAACAAGTGTTGCTGAGTCACTTTATCGAAACAAAAGCAGTTTAGTTGCAATATTTAGCATTTTAGATAAAGATAGCAATGGTATAAATTATTAAAATTAAAGTATACAATGTTACCTGAATTAATTCAAATTATTCACTTAATTTAGGGGTCATATCCATTGATGAATTTAAAGAGACATGTACTTTATTACAAAAACATATACAGAATTCTAGTGCTTTCGGTAATATGTTTGACAAATTTAAAATGATGGATCTTAACAAAGATGGCTTTATTGATCTCAACGAATTTCTGGAAGCATTTCGATTAAGCGATCAAGCTAATAAATCTAATACTTTACCTTCACACAAGAAACAAATTCGAGGTAATGTGTTTGTTTTAATTTATACGTATGTACTACAACATATAAGTATACAAATTCTTTCTTTTAGGGCAAAATCATGATAGTGTCAAACAGGTCACGAAATCCTTGGCGAGACAAATTTCTGAGCCGGAAGTTATTGATCCAACAGATTTTACATCTAAGTAATTAAAATTTAAATTCATCTCTTATATGGTCACGATTATAAAATTTTACACTCACATTTTATTGCGATTTGATATATTTCTTCCTAAAAAATGTACATAAATCTTAATAAATGTGGTAGTTTTAAATATATTTATCTTGCCATCTAATATTTACTGATATTACAAAATATAATAAAATTTTAAACTAACTTTTTCATACTCTCGTTTGTTTAATCACCTTTGTTATTTGCATTTGATTATAAATTTTATTAAAAAACTAACTATTGACGTTAAATTACAACTTATATTCACGATTAGTGGAGTAACATTAGCATGACTTTCTCAGCATTACGTTCCAAGATTAGGTTCTATACATAAGAAAGAATAAATCAGGCAACAAATAATGCCTCTACGAACAGAATAGTATTGAAATTTAACAATTAAAAATAAAAATATAATTAATTAATTAATTCAATTCTTCTACAGCTGATTTATGATTTCGTTCCAATATAAACACAGCAAGTAAAATTGTTAATAAAAACTTTCATAGCAAAATTAACAAAAGTCCAGAAAAATATGCGAACAAAAAAAATCAAGCATGGCTTTGGATCAGTTGGTTAAGGTGCGCTGATTATGAGCTTCACATTTGGCAGGACCCGAGTTCGAATCCTGGTACTTGCATTCTCAAAAATAATTTTTTACGAATAATTAAATACAATAATTATTTCCAAGACCACTCATGATGGGTATTTGGCAATACTCGAAACAGCTGTATGGTCAGCCAAAAATACAATTAATTAAAATAATATATAAAAAAAAAAATAAAATTTTTGTTGTTGTAGTTCACTACGGTTCGAAAAAACCTCTGTTGACAAGTCAACGAACTATATGATAGACTTGCATTTATTTCCTAACCGAAACCAATGCCAAGGCTGACCGGTTCGTTGACTTCTTCTTTCGTAACAATGCAGTTCAAAGCAATTTGCTTGGAACTGCATTTTGCGAAGTCAGCAAATGCACTCCACGTTGTTTTAGAACATTTCATATTTTTATTTAAAAAATAATTTAATTAATTTTTATTGATTTTGCATTTTATTTCAATTGTATTGATTTTGCATTTTATTTAAATTGTATTATTTGCAATTTATAATTAATTTATTTTAATTATTAATTTTGCATTATTGTTAATATGCGTATCGGCAATTTATCACTTATATTTAAGAGGTAAATTGCAGATACATTTTTCATTACAATAAAGGTTTCTAACTAGCAAACTGCTTGTTTAATTGTAAGGAATCAATCCAAAGTTCGCGCACTTGAATTGGAGTTTCTCCTCTTCAAGATCCATTGAGTCGACGTTTCGTCTGCACTCAATTCTATCATTAGCATCTAAGCTATTGAGACGTTTTCATTGGTGACCCCTAGTATAAAGGATTGATCGCGTAGTCAGTCGCGTTTTCGTGTTTAAAAATTCGCTAATAAAAAATAATAAGCCGTTTCGCTCAATAAACTCGTTTCGCTCTTGTTTTCTATACTTGGACAATGGATAACATCGAGAAAATCGTGCAAGCTCAAAAGACGATTGCAACTGAGATCGAAGTAATTATCAGAAATTACAAAAAGGACTCCAGCGATAGGAAGCAGACACCGGCATATTTTGAAAAACGACTTCAGGATCTCAAGAAGGCATGGCAACAATTCGAAATCAATGATAATACCCTCCAGAAAGAATGTTCGGAAGACAAGTCGCATGAATACTTCACTAAGAATTTCTATGAACAGGTATTGAAAATTTGGGAACAATACGAAGCCACTTTTAGTGAACAAATAACATTGTTGTCAAACGTAACCTCATTCGCCACTAATAAGAATGTAGAAGCACAAGTAATAGCTACGAAAAACAGCTCATGTGATTCCAATAAACTATCTCTAATGATGCGACGCCAACAAGAGTTTGGCAAAACTATAAAACGTCAACTAATTGACGCTAACATCACCACGGACATACCTTTAGCACGTAAGGTACTGTTGAAGGATTCTATTCTTCGCTTATGGGCCCATTTTGAGGAACTCCATTACAGCATTTGTGAATTAGAATCCAATCCAGCAACTATTGGATATGATGAAGAAGGGTTTATATCGTTAGAAAGAGAAGTCCAAAATATGTCCTTAAAGGTGGAAGAGTTGAAACTTGCTTCAACGTCTTCGCATACCTCAACATTAACATCTGCATCAATGCAGTTACCACGAGTAATAATACCAAGGTTCAGTGGGAACTACTTGGAATGGAGGCAATTTCGCGACTTGTTCAATGAAGTGGTAAATAAACAATCACTTGCGAATTGCCAAAAAATGTTTTATCTAAAATCGAATTTGGACGGAGAAGCAGCACGTCTAATTGCTCATTTAACAGTATCTGAGGATAATTTTAGTAGTGCCTGGAGTTTACTTTGCCAGCGCTACGATAATAAGCGGCTTCTTGTGAATGCATTTATTGCAAAACTTATTTCTCAACAAATTATAACATCTGAAAGCTCTGAAGCTATCAAACGACTCCATGATACAACTTCTGAGTGTATTCTTGGACTTAAAAATCTTGAAATCAACATCGAAAACTGGGATCCAATAATACTTTTCATTTTGACGAAGAAATTGGATCCAATAACACACAGCTTGTATGAACAGAACGTGAAGGATCCAAGAAGAATCCAACAGTTAAATGAATTTCTGGAATTTTTAGAACTTCGCTTCCAAGCATTAGAGGCAATTGGAGGCAAGAGCATTAACAAGGCGTGTTTAAATACTACAAATGGAATGTTAAAATGTTTAGCTTGCAAGGGAGATCATAAAACTTCCACTTGTAAAAATTACTTGAAAAACCCCCCGGAAATTCGCAGAAATATGATTCTCAGTGCCAAACGTTGTGTAAATTGCTTGCGCTCGGGCCATTTTTCAACAAAATGCCCATCTCAGGGTTGTCTGAAATGCAAAAGAAGGCATCATACAACTTTACATGAACTTTATGCTGCCAATGGCAAGTCTCAGGTCACTACTGACTCATCGCGAAATAACGATTCACACCAATTAGGTGGGCATGCAGCAGCTACGCTTACAACAAGTAGACCCGTAGAGTTGAAGAAATCTTATGGTTTACTAGCAACTGTAATAATGACGGTTCTGAATTCTCAGGGCGTGGAATGCAAGATGCGTGCATTACTGGATTCAGGCTCACAAGTGAACCTCATAACAGAACGAGCAGCACGAAAACTTGGGCTAACTCAATTATCAAGCTCGCTGAATCTTAGTGGCGTCGGTCAGAAAAACAAGTGCTCAAAAAAAAGAGTCTACGTAGTTATATCATCTAGTGTAACTAACTACAAAACTGAAATAGAAGCTCATATGTTGCCAACAATAGTTGCAAATCAGCCTGCAATTGAACTGGATACATCAAATTGGGCTATACCAGAAGGAGTTGTGTTGGCTGATGCCCAATTCAACAAACCAGGTCCAGTAGATATTCTTATTGGCGTTGAATTATACAACGACATGGTTCTGCCAAGGAGAATTTCGCTAGGAAACAATTATCCAATGTTACAAAAAACTGTGTTTGGGTGGATGGTCAGTGGTCGGATTTCTGGGTTTTCGTCTTCTGCATCGATTTGCGGTGTTCTTACAAATAATGTAGAACTCGATCTGCACAAATTTTGGGAACTAGAGGAGATACAGCAAGGTTCGTCGGATCAAACACTTGAAGAACAGCAATGTGAGGAACATTTTAATCGATCTGTGGCAAGATCAACTGATGGTAGATTCGTTGTGAAATTACCATTCAAAGGAGAAGTCACTTCTTTAGGCTATTCGCAAAGATTAGCACAGCAACGTTTTTTCGCTGTAGAAAGACGTCTCAACGGAGACCCTGAATTCAAAACAACATACAATAAATTTATGGAAGAGTACATCAACCTGGGACATATGAGTGTGATCAACCCAGATGATATAATCCATCCCTGTTATTTTTTGCCTCATCATGGAGTTCTTCGACCAGAGAGCTCCACCACGAAACTTCGAGTAGTGTTCGACGCCTCTGCACCAACTTCCACAAGCATATCTTTAAATGATGTGTTAGCTACTGGTCCAACTATCCAGGATGATTTATTCGCTATACTGACACGTTTTCGTTTATCTAAATTCGTTTTCACGGCCGATATCGAGAAGATGTATCGTCAAATTATGGTGGACCAAGATGACCGTCGATTCCAACTAATTTTATGGAGAAACAACGACAATGAGCCTCTTCGAACTTATCAACTTAATACCGTAACTTATGGGACATCGTCAGCACCGTATCTTGCCACAAAATGCTTGCAACGGTTGGCTGAAATTGAAGAAAGTAGGCACCCGACAGCTGCAGCTATCGTCAAAAGAGATTTTTACGTAGATGACGTCATGACAGGGTTCAACAGTATGTCTGAAGCATTACATGCACGAAACGAACTTATTAAACTATTGCACAAGGGTGGCTTTAAGCTTCGCAAATGGTGCGGCAATCATCCAAAATTAATGGAAGGGTTGCACCCATCCGACATAGCTGTACAACTAGACTTCAACACGATGGAATGCGGTCACATTAAGACATTGGGCCAAGTGTGGATCCCAACAACAGATGAGTTTAAGATACAGATCAACAAAAACGAACACGTCAAATATACTAAAAGAAGTATATCATCCGACATTTCTCGAATTTTCGATCCGCTTGGGCTCGTTAGTCCAGTCACAGTAGAAGCTAAATTATTCTTGCAACACTTGTGGACGCTGAAACTTGATTGGGACGAAGAATTGTCAAACGAGCTAACCTGTCAATGGGTGCGTTACATGGAAAGCTTAAACTGTCTCAATAACATAAAACAGCCACGTCATCTTTTCGGAAACGAGATTCCAAAATCAACGCAAATACATGCTTTCGCCGATGCTTCAGAACGAGCTTACGGCGGAGTAATTTATCTACGTTCCATTACGCAGCACGGACAAGTGATTGTCCGCCTCCTTTGTGCTAAATCGAGATTAGCCCCAATCAAGAAATTAACAACCCCAAAGTTAGAACTATGCGCCGCTCTACTAACAGCACAATTATTAGCTAAGGTAAAAAATTGCATGCAGTTGACAGATACCACAACACATTTATGGACAGACTCGGAAATTGTGTTGGCATGGATCAATTCATCGGCAGCCTCCTACTACGCATTCGTGGCAAATAGGGTGACAAAAATTCTCGAAATTTCCAGCAAGAGCCAATGGCGACATGTTAGATCCAAAGATAATCCTGCCGACATACTATCGCGCGGCATTGAAGCATCCAAACTAAGCAGCTGCCACTTATGGTTTTACGGTCCTATGTTCCTGCATGGTCATCAGTCACTATGGCCTGCTCCATTCAAAGCCAGATCAGAATGTAAAGTGGAACTTAAGAGATCGATACATGCAGTAACAATCGATCCCAACAAACCACATTTCTTACACAATATCGATCATAAGAATTCCTTTTCCAAATTGGAAAGAATAACTGCTTATGTTATTCGTTGCACACAAATTCTCCGGAAGGCATCATTGGAACAAAACGAATGTCACTTATCCAGTGTAGAATTGACACGTGCTCGTCAAGTGATCATTCGCATGATACAAGACGAGGGATTAGCAGAAGAAAAAAATTCACTTCGTAAGGGCTTAGAAGTCAGAAAAACTAGTACAATTAAGGCTTTGTCTCCATTCATTGATCAACAAGGTCTTCTAAGAGTTGGCGGGCGGCTTCAATCTTCCTCACTTTCATTTGAGGCGAAGCACCCAGTCTTGCTACCAGATTGCCCATTAACAAGGCTGTTAATACAAGAGACTCATGTCCGCAACAAACATATTGGACCACAAGGATTAATGGCAATCATGCGACAGCAATACTGGCCACTCAAAGGAAAGATGATAGCAAGAACTATTATTCACAAATGCGTTATCTGCACCAAGGCGAAACCGACACTACTAAATCAAATCATGGGAAACTTGCCAACTGATCGCGTTGAACCAGCACGAGCATTTGTAAACTCAGGAGCTGACTTTTGGGGTCCAATATGGACTCATTATCGTATCAGGGGAAAACGTCCAACAAAAAGCTACGTGGCCGTATTTTGTTGCTTTGCAACAAAGGCCATACATATGGAGGTAGTCACAGATCTTACAACTGACGCATTCATCATGGCATTAAAACGTTTCATAGGAAGAAGAGGGATGTGCCGGAAAATATACTGTGACAATGCCACTAATTTCGTTGGAGCTAATAAGGAACTTGCTGAACTAAAAAATGCCGTGTTCGATGAAAGAAGCCAAGAAAAAATACAGGGTGTTTGCTGTTCGTACAATATCGATTTTAAGTTCATCCCACCACGAGCCCCACACTTCGGTGGATTGTGGGAAGCTGCCGTCAAGTCAGCAAAAAATCTATTTAAACGAAGTGCATCGAACGTCAGTCTTACATACGAGGAGTTAGAAACACTCATAATAGAAATCGAAGCGATTTTGAATTCGAGACCACTAACTCCGACGTCATCAGATGCTAACGACCTAACCGCCATAACTGCTGGACATATCTTAATCGGTGATCCCCTCACTGCAACAATTCATGTTGACGCGAAGCCTCTACATTTAAATTTAAAAAAAAAGATATGAGCGCATTATCAGTATTAAAGACGACTTCTGGCATAGATGGCGGTCAGAGTACTTAAGTGATTTACAGCACCGATCAAAGTGGCAAAAGGTCCAAGACAATGTCAAAGTGGGCCAAATGGTTCTAATTCATGAAGATAATACACCGTCACTTCAGTGGCCGTTGGGGAGAATAGTAGAAACCTTCATAGGCCCAGATGGAAAAATTCGTGTAGCTAATGTGCGTACCAAAAATGGTATAATAAAACGAGCAATTCATCGACTAGCACTACTGCCGATCGATACAAGCGAACCAATCGAGCAAAACACATCCGAAAAACCAATATGCATAAATGAAACAATAACGGAGGCCCCTACGCCAACTGTTCAAGATAGTACCCCAAAAAAGCGGCGACGACTCAGCATAGGAAACGTTCTGCTAACAATTTTAATGGCCTGTTTTGTGACTGCATCCCAATGCAGCCCAATCGTCGAGCAATTTACCAGACCTGGACTCTATTTCGAAAACATCGGAGCTACCAAAATCATATCAAGTCAGTGGAACATTGTAGTATACTACAATTTATCATCTTTTTGGATTGCCTGGGATTCGATTAGGTCGACTACAGCAGCCCTTGATAACATTTGTCATCAAAGCGGTGGCCAATTTGCAT